TGAATTGAGCACAGAACTGTCATGTTGGTGATGAAAAGTAAAAAAAACTCTTCCAGGGATGTTACACAAGTATGAGTAGCTGAGAGCTCTCGATTTAATGTCTTGTCCTTTCTTGGCACTAATTGTAAGTATAGCACTCTCCCGACGGAGTTTCAGATATAAGATCGCTTGAATGGGGAGCCTGCTGGTTTGTCGGTTAGGTTTGTCGGTGAATCGTTTGCCTTTTTTGAAGATTCCGCCAGCGCTTTAGTACGAGCTAGCGTGAGATCAGGACGTCCTGAAAACTTTAACGTGCGCGTTTACGGCAGAATAGAAATCAAAGTGTGATTTCTGTCGTGGAGTTGAATTACATATATTCTTGTATAAATTAGTGATAGGTTCAATTATGTTGTGTATAAAAATTCGTTTGTGAATGTCGTGTGTCTCACTTTGTACATAAATCAAGTCGTGTTCGTGTCTAAAATTTAATGTACTCAAGTTGCCATTCTCAGACTTAAACGAGAACATATAGCGATTAACAAATGCATTAACCCCCGTCTACGATAAATGATTAAAACATGTAGAAATAATTTATATCAGACTCACTTATTATATGAAAACAATCTTGCTCAGTAAAAGTGTGTCCTTGTGCCTAGGTTGTTCTATCGAATTTGACCCTTCGTAAAAAAGAAACACTGCGTAACAGTTGTCGCGGCTAGGTCAATGAACTCACTTTATTTCACGTTTCATTACCACTTTTCATTGTAACAATTTTATTCAGTAATCGGTGAAAGAGACTCGGGAACACAGGGCTTGAACAACTCATTCGAATAAATTTGACACTGTTTATTCATGTTTCGTGATCACTTTTTCCGACGAGTTTTCTCGAGTCGGTTGATCGATTCTCGGATCGCTAATTCTATCCTAGCGAGGATACGGAGCACAGGATGTTTAGGCAGAGTCACGTGAAGTTGTTAAAATAAAATAAAAGATATAACTTTAAATGTTCACAAAATGGTTTATTTAACAATTATAACGATAATGCAACTGGTTGAAATAATCGGAAAAACGGTTGAAATTTAGGTTGCAATTCGCTAATACGTTTGCTTTCGCTGAAGGTTCACAAAGATCTGAATTTTAAAATCGGAACGGCAATCGTTTGAACAATCGATCCGATCGATGGCGTTGCGATAGGGCTAATCCCGTGCGGGAGGGATTAGTGCCTGTACGCAGCGACGTAATACGGCACAGAAGTGCCGCGGTCTATTATTATTATCTTTATTTCGGAACACTCTCGTTTTTTATTCAACAAATTCGAGTGCAGCAGGTTTTTTTACTAACCGAAAAGTTTCGAACTGACTGACTTTGCACTCGAACTGATCGGAGCGCCACGTGTACCACCGGTGGTACACGATGTGATAACTGCTCTAAACAAGAGAACTACTTATGTATTGATGATATAATGAAATATTGTGTAATAATATATCGATCTTTAGTCAAAATATCAAATGGCCTGAACGACAAGTCAGGCAAAAATGGCTTGGCACGGAACGTGTTAATCGTCCCCCAACATGAATTAATCCGTCCGCGTCAATATATACATTCAGCGATATAAGCGCGCTGTTTCGAGGAAGCGACTGGGTGTTTTGTAAACATTGCAATTCATTCAAGAAGAGGCTACGCTGAATGTATTTCAACCAGAATAGATGGGCTTGTTGTATCTCACACGGATTTAACACACCACTATCACCTTTACCATGAATGGAATCACGTGAGACAATCGTCAGCTTTGGGAGCGAGGACAGTCGCCTTAATCTGGTGATAAATCTGAAAATATATGCGGTGACTCGTATTAATTTTGTCCAATTGGAATATCGGTCGGCAAGATCCCATGCTGGTACGGGGGCTGCCATATTTACAGGGAAAGAACGCTCTTCCAGCGAGGTGGACGCGATCACGGAGGTATCATGTGGCCAGTCAGCTGACGAAAGTTTGAGCCACAACGGACCAGTTCACCAAATGGACTGGAAACCTAATTGTTCGCAATTTAATCCTCGAAATGAGCAGTCCGCTGGGTTGTCATCGGTAGTCACGTGGTGCCATTTTACATTCGGTATATTGGTTTGTATCTCGGCAACCCTGTTAGCGACGAACGTTTTCCAACGGGATGGGAGCTAACATACCCAAGCTAAAACTATTGTAGAGTCTGTCCAACAATAACTAGTTACTGATTGAAGTGCGAGCGTCGATTTGACAAACACAAGAAGACGCGATAACAATACAGCGGCGCATAACTCAAGTCGAGGGATACTTATAGATTTAAGCAATGCAACTTTAGATTTTGCTGTTAAAAGCGATATTGTGACGTCTCCTGATAATGTTATAGTTTTTAAATAAACAACGGCAGCATAAGCAGAAGATGAGGCATCTGCGAAACCGTGTAATTCGTATGACTTCACGTACGACCCGTAATTTACCCATCGTGGTAGTGAAAGTTGGCGTAAACAGGGGAGTTGTTTATAATACGAAATCCATTCATCAAGGATCGCATTTGGAATGTTTACGTCCCAGTCACACTTAAAGTGCCACAAATGTTGCATGAGAATCTTCCCTTTAATAACCACAGGAGTGACCCAACCCAATGGATCAAAAAATTTAGCGATAGTGGATAAAATGGTGCGCTTCGTTTGAGGCACGTTTTCCCCAATAATGATATTGAACTGGAAAGAGTCGACGTTAGGGTTCCAGGACACTCCTAATACCTTTAATTCAGGTTGCAGAGGTTTGTTTGGTTGCAATGTTTTAGTGCTGGTGACGCTGTGGTCATTTGGATTAATGTTGGATAATAGTGCAGGAGTGTTACTTGCCCATTTGCGAAGGGTGAATACTGCACGATTCAGGAGCGAAATCAACTGTTTTCGAGTTTGTCGAGCGAGGTCGACATCGTCAGCACCAAAGACACAGTCATCGACATAAATTTGATTTTGTAAGACGGGCACTGCCAATGGATAATGATTTCCGTCATCCTCTGCAAGCTATCGAAGTATGCGGAGTGCGAGGTAAGGAGCGGGAGCAGTCCCATACGTAACAGTGCGAAGACCAAAGTGATGGAGAGGTTATTGCGGAGATGCACGCCAAACTATACGTTGGTAATCGATGTCGCAATTGTCAACAAGGATTTGGCGGTACATTTTTTCAATCTCCGCAAGGAAAACGTAGCGATGTAATCGCCATTGTAATATGACTGCGGGCAAGTCTAATTGAAGTTTTTGACCGGTAAACAAGTGGCCATTGAGAGACGTACCGTTAGAGGTAGAGCTTAAAAAAACACCTAGGCATAATAATTGCAATACTTATTTACAAAGATACCGTAACTTTTGTAATTTGAGGAAAAAACGCCGCTTTTTGACGTTTTGTTACATCAATATTAGGCATAAAATAAAACATTTAATCAAAAACTGATATACCCATCTTAAAGGATACATTCTCCGCTGTCTGGAACCGTATTTACAATTTTGTAACGTCCCTGGTTCTTGAACCTGGTATTTTACAGCGCTTATGAAGCAAAGAGCGGCTTTTGCCTATTAAGCGACTCGTTTTTACTATAACTAATTCTAAAAGAATGCGGGATCGTGGTGGCGTGTGGTTAAAGAGTGAAATCTACAGGTTAATACCTTTCATTAATTAGGTTTATTCAAATAATGATGAGAAAAAGAGTTATAATTAACAATTACTTTAGTAAATATAAAAATGTATATGTGACTGAATTCTATAAGCAAATTGGAGTATAATAGACTTGTTATTGACGCAAATCGCAGAACGGTAGCTAACTACTTCAATTACGTGATTTTATAATGGTATACGCAACGCAAAAATATAACGCAATTTAATAATGGATCTAGATCCTAACAAAACTGACAGAACAATAGTTGGTTAATTACAAAAACTCTAAAATTTGTATTAAACGTGGAACAGTTACTCTTTGTTTGACTCTAAACTAATTAGTTCATGGCCCTTTTTGTCAGAGCACAAATCGACACCCAAAACCTGATCGCTTAATTGAGGAGCCTGCGTTAGCTGGCTACTAGAATTACCCAACGATGCAAGAATCAAGTGACCGACGTGTGACCAACAGGGTAGCAAATAAAAATGACTCAACTTTAATTATTTATTGAAATTACTGAAACGCCACCCAAAAGACACGGGCTTCAGAGACCAAGCCGCTCAATGATGGGGAGCCTGCGT